TAATGCATGCCTGAGATGATATACGCTTGTGAGAGAATGCATTCCTCCCTCACTCTGGTTCCCGAGGCCATGGGAGAGGTGGGCACGTGTATGTCTTGTCTGCCGTGAATTTCTTTTTTTTTTTTTATATAGATATCAACGTTTATTAGTGGTTACTAGGGTCAGTATGCAGAAAGTGGGGGGTTGGGGGTAGGGGTATGGAAAAACTACAAGGATCATGGAATGTTAGCTTGCAAACAGATTCTTGTCATTGCTGTCAATAAGGCTTAAACCTGTAAATAGCTGAACAGGCAAAAGTTCTGAGATAGATATACAAGGGGGCTTCAAAAAGTCTGTGGGAAACTTCCATTATTTTCAGATTTGTTTAGAGTCATCACTGGGGCTTTTTCTTGCTGCTGGTTTCTTTGTTGGTCTGCTCTTGTACCGGCATGACCAGGGCCAGGGCTTTTTTGAAAGCTTGCGGGTAATTGGAAAGCAGGTCTATGGTGAATTCTGCTTTGTTCTCAATTTTCTCTTGGTCGTAGTCTGGCTGCTTGGCCATCTCGGGAGAGCTGAAGCCAGATTGGCCCTTGCTTTGAGCTGAAGACATTCAAAGAGTCTCGGGGAGGAGGCACCGCTCACGTTCCCCTACTGGGCGCGCCAACTACACACTTCTCAGGCTGCAAGCGCTTCTCTGGGACCACAACCCGTGCACAGCAAGTAGGATCCAAGCTATCGTCTGCCGTGAATTTCATGGGCCCCTCAATTACACATCCACCCCCTAGGACCCATTTGGTTGTGGAGGCTGGTCCCCCACAGGCAGTTCGAGTCATTTACAGCTGCCCATAGGGTTTCTGAGACTAGAACTATGTACTGGAACAGACAGCCTCGTCTTTCTCTGGCAGAGCAGTGGGCAGGTTTGAAACTCTGGCCTTGCTGTTAGAAGCCCACCCTAGACCACTCGTTCAACCCACTGCCATTGACTGGGTGCTGACTCATAGCAAGGCTATGTAGGACAGGGTAGGACTACCCTTGTGAGTTCCAAGACTATAACTGTTTACAGGTGCAGGAAGCCCATCTTTCTCCCAGAGAGGCCGGTGGTTTCGAACTGCTGACCTTCCAATTAGGAACCTGGTGTGTAACCACTGTGCCCCCAGGGATCCTATTCCTAAATCCACAGACATCCTAAAAAGAATGCTTGAGGTTTCAAGCTCTAACACATTACATGTTTCCTTACTATCACATATGAAATAACTGCTCCCCCTGCTCTTTGGGCCCTAGTAGGTTGATGCCATCAGTGGTGGCATTGTGAAGTTGTTAGGGAGCTAGAGGCAGAACTAGGGGTTGACCCTCTACATGCCAAAGCCTCGCTCCCCCATGACAGGAGTTGGAAGCTGCTTAAGCCTGGAGGGCGTGCACAAATTCAGGCCTTTGAGACAAGAAACCAGTAAGCCAGGGTGGGACCCCCATCTAGGCCAGGTGAATTTAATTCAGCCAATGGTCGACCAGTACCATCAACCACGGG